GACACCCCATGCTGGGCTACTTCCAGGTATGAATGCTTCGGTTACCCCACCAGGACTGTGAATCTCCAAACTTAACTGTCCCCCTACCTGCGTAGGTTCTGTTTCCACATACAAGGCATTGTCTGTGGGAACTTCCTCCTCTACTCACAGGACAATGACATGCCACATTGGGCTACCATAGCTAAGTAGGTGACATGGACACCTACTTTATACTGTCCCACAACAGCTTTAAGAATGACTAGTTTGATCCAGCTTTAAGAATGACTAGTTTAAGAATTACAAAAGAAATTCTTTTTTTTCTTTTGGTATCATTAATGTACAATGACATGAGCAACATTATGGTTACTACACTCCCCCCATCATCAAGTCCCCACCACATACCCCATTACAGTCACTGTCCATCAGTGTACTAAGATGCTATAGAATCACTACTTGTCTTCTCTGTGTTGTACAGACCTCCCCCTACATTATGTGTGTTAATTGTAATGCCCCTTTTCTCCCCTTGTCTCTCCATTCCCACCCATCCTCTCCAGTCCCTTTCCCTTTGGTAACTGTTAGTCCACTCTTGTGTTCTGTGATTCTGTTCATGTTTTGTTCCTTCAGTTTTTTTCTTTGTTCTTATGCTCCACGGATGAGTGAAATCATTTGATACTTGTCTTTACCACCTGGCTTATTTCACTGAGCATAATACCCTTTAGCTCCATCCATGTTGTTGCAAATGGTAGGATTTGTTTTCTTCTTACGGCTGAATAATATTCCATTGTGTATATGTACCACATCTTTATCCATTCATCTACTGATGGACTTCCATTTCTTGGTTGCTTCCATTTCTTGGCTATTGTAAATTGTGCTGCGATAAACATAGGGATGCATATGTCTTTTTGAAACTGGGCTGCTGCATTCTTAGGGTAAATTCCTACAAGTGGAATTCCTGGGTCAAATGGTATTTCTATTTTGAGCTTTTTTGAGGAGCCTCCATATTGCTTTCCATAGTGGTCGACTAGTTTACATTCCCACCAGCAGTGTAGGAGGATTCCCCTTTCTCCATCCACATCCTCGCCAACATTTGTTGTTGTCTTTTAGATGGTGGCCATCCTTACTGGTGTGAGTTGATATCTCATTGCGGTTTTAATTTGCATTTCTTTGATGATTAGCTATGTGCAGCATCTTTTCATGTGCCTGCTGGCCATCTGTATTTCTACTTTGGAAAAATGTCTCTTCTGATCTTCTGTCCATTTTTTCATTGGTTTTTTTTTTTTTTTTTGGTGTTTAGTAGTATGAGTCTTTTATATATTTTGGATGTTAAACATTTATAGGACAAATCATTTACAAATATACTCTCCCATAATATAGGTTACATTTTTGTTCTGCTGACGGTGGTCCTTGGCTGTACAGAAGCATTTTGTTTGGTATATAGTCCCACTTGTTCATTTTTAATTATTTTTTCTCATCCTGAGCAATTGTGTACAGGAAAAAAATGATCACACTTATGTTTGAGAGATTTTTACCTACGTTTTCTTCTAAGAGTTTTATGGTTTCATGTCTTACTTCTACATCTTTGATGTATTTCAAGTTTACTTTTGTGTGTAGAGTTATAGACAGTAATCTAGCTTCTTTTTCTTGCATGTAGCTGTCCAGTTTTGTCAACACCAGTTGTTGAAGAGTCTGTCCTTTCACCATTGTATACTCATGGCTCCTTTATTACATATTAAGTGACCATATATGCATGGGTTTATATCTGGGCTATTTTGTTTCACTGATCTATGGGTCTGTTCCTGTGCCAGTACCATACTGTTTTGATTAGAGTTATTTTGTAGTATAGCCTGAAATCAGGGAACATAATATCCCCCATTTCAAATTCTTCTAAGCTACTACTACTAGTGTGATTTAAATAAAATTTAATGTTTAAAAAGTTAGAGATCCTATTCCTTGTTATATTCTATACATCTTTCTCAAATATGTGTATATCTAAATGTGGATTGCTTCCAGTTTCATTATATTATGTGGAGCTGTCCAGTTTTCCCAAACCAGCTGTTGAAGAGGCTATTCTTTCCCCACTGTATATTCATGGCTCCTTTATATTATTATATTAATTGATGATATATGCATGGGTTTATATCTGGGCTATTTTGTTTCATTCATCTACGGATCTGTTTTTGTGCCAGTACCATACTGTTTTGATTACTGTAGATTGATAATAAAGCTTGAAGTCAGGGAACATAATCACCCCAGCTTTGTTCTTTCTCAGAATTGCTTTGGTGTATGAGGTCTTTTGTGGTTCCATATGAATTTAGAACTATTTGTTCTGGCTCATTGAAAAATATTGTTAGTATGTTGATACGGATTCCCTGACTCTGTAAATTGCTTTGGGCAGGATGGCCATTTTGAGAATATTAATTCTTCCTACCCATGAACATGGGATTATTTCCATTTATTGGTTAATTCCCTCATGAAGAAGGTATAGGTCTTTTACCATGTTTGCTAGGTTTATTCCTAGGTATTTTATTCTTTTTGATGCAATTTTAAATGGAATTGTTTTCCTGATTTCTCTTTCTGCTGTTTGTTTTTAGTATATAGGAATGCAACAGATTTCTGCATATTAATTTTGTACCCTGCAACTTTCATGAATTCAGTTACTAGTTCTAACCATTTTCTGGTGGAGTCTTTAGGATTTTCTATATGTAATAATATCATGTGATCTGTAGACAGTGATAGTTTTACTTCTTCCTTCCTGGTTTGGATGCCTTTTGTTTCTTTTTCTTGTCTAATTGCTTTGGATGGTATTTCCAACACTATGTTGAATAAAAGTGGTGAGGGGATATCCTTGTCATGTTCCCAATATCAGAAGAAAAACTTTTTTTTAGCTACTAGGTAGGATATTAGCAGTGGGATTGCCAGATTGCCATATATGGATTTTATTATGTTGAGCTATCTTCCCTTTATACCTATGTTAACAGTTTTTATCACAAATGGATGCTGAATTTAGTCAAATGCTTCTCTGTGTCTATTGAGATAATCATGATTTTCAGCCTTCATTTTGTTAATGTGGAGGATCACACTGATCTGCAGATATTGATCCATATTTGCACCCTGGGATATGTCACAGTTAATCATGGTGTATTATACTTCCAATGTATTGTTGAATTACGTTTGCTAGTGCTTCACTGAAGATTTTTGCACCTATATTCCTCAGGGAATTTGGCCTGTAACTTTCTTCTCTTGTAGTGTCCCTGTCTGGTTCTGATTATGAAGGTAATGTTGGCTTCATAAAATGAGTTTGGAAGTACTCCCTCCTCTTAAGTTTTTCAGAAGAGTTTGAGAAGGACTGCTATTACTTCTTTACATGTGTGTTAGACTGGAATAGTGAAGCCTAACTAGCAGTGGGATTGCCAGTGAATTTCCCATTTTACTTCTGGTCCTGGATTTGGTTTCTGGGATGTTTTGATTACTAATTCAATCTCTTTGCTAGCACTCAGACTGTTTAGATTTTCTATGTTATCATGATTCCGTCTTGATTGGTTGTATGTTTCCAACAATGTATCCATTTCTTCTATGATGTCCAATATGTTGGCATACTAATTGTTCATAGTAGTCTCTTTTGATCCTTTATATTTCTGAAATATCAGGTGTAATGCCTCTTCTTTCATTTCTGATTTTCAGGCCTTTTTATCATGGTTATTTCTAACTAAAGGTTTGTCTATTCTTTTTATCTTTTCAAAAAACAAGCTCTAAGTTTCACTGATCTTTTCTGTTAACTTTTTAGTTTTTATTTCATTTATTTCTGATCTCATCTTTGTTATTTCCTTTCTTCCTCTAACTCTGGGACTGGTTTATTCTTGTTTTTCTCATTTCTTAAGGTTTCAACTAAGGTCGTTTATTTGAGAAACTTCCTAGTGTCTTAATGTACGCATTTATTGCTATGAACTTCCCTCTTAGAACTGCTCTTGGTGCATCCCATATGTTTTGGTATGTTGTATTTACATTATTTGTCTCCTTATATTTTTTTATTTCTCCTTTGATGCATTAGTTGTTACAATAGCATGTTCTTTACTCTCACATAGTTGTGAATTTCCCATTTTTCTTCTTGCAATTGATCACAAGTTTCATAACATTGTCTCAGGAAAATGTCTGATATACTTTCCATCTTCTTAAATTTATTGAGACCTGTTTTGTGTCCTAACATATGATCTATCCTGAAGAATGTTCCATGGGTGCTTCAGAAGAATGTGCATTTTGTTGTTTTGGGATGGCATGTTCTGTATATGTCTGTTAAGTTCATCTAGTCCAGTGTGCTGTTAAAGGCCAGTGTTTCCATACTAACTGTTTTGTCTGAATAATCCATGCATTGATGAAAATGGGATGTTGAAGTCCCCTACTTTTATTGTATTGCTGTCTATTTTTCCCTTCAAGTTTATTAATATTGCTTTATATACTTAGTTGCTACCACGTTGGGTGCATAAACATTTACACATTATATTCTCTTGTTGGACTGATCTCTCTATCATTAGATAATGTCCTTGTCTCTTATTAGTTTGTTTTAAAGTCAATTTTTTCTTTTGTAGGTACAGCTACCCAGGCTTTCTTTTGGTTTCCATTTGCATGGAATATCTTTTTCTATCCTTTCACTCTCACTCTGTATGTATCCTTACATCTGAAGTGAGGCTCTTGCAGGCATCATACACATGAGTCTTATTATTTTTAATCCATTCAGCCACACTGTCTTTTGACTAGAGAATTTAGTCCTTTTATAATTAAAGTAACTTTAGATAAGTATGTACTTATTGCCATTTTATTGCTTTCTGATTGTTTTGTAATTCCTTTGTTCCTTTCTTTTTCCTCTTTCTTTCTTTCTGAATTGATTTTTTTGGTAGTGGTATGCATAGATCCCTTTTTACTTTTTGTGTATCTACCATAGCTTTTAACTTTGTGGTTTTCATGAGGCTTACATAAAACTAATATTTATAATTATCTATTTTAAACTGAAAATTGGGAAAGCATTGAAAAGTTCTACATTTTTATTTCCCATCATGTTTTACATTTATGATATCATAATTTACATCCATTTATTTTGTGTATCCTTTCACAAGGAACTGCAGTTACATTTATACCATTGACATTTCTCAAATTTTATACTCTCAACATGTACTTTTATAATCAGAAAAAATGGAACATTTTATTTTTATAAAAACAACTGTGCTATCATACACACTGCCTGAAAAGCAACAAAATTGGGGTCTTTTTCATGAAATTGTGAACAAACATACAAAGTCTTCTAAGAGAAAATTCAAGTTATTTCAACCTCTAAATTCATAAATAAACATGAGTAAATAATTCATTAATACTTAAGTCATATTTATTTAGAACTGTATTTACCAAAACCAAAGACACTAAAATTGATTTCACTTTTGCTCTCTTACCTACCCTGTAAGAAAAGTTGGCTTTAATTCATTATCCTTAATTATTTTAAAGTAGAAAAACATGTAACATATATTTCCCAAGACAGCTAAGCAAATTTGCATAGCAAAATCAGGCCTTGAGAAGGAGGAGCCAAGATGGCGGCAAAAATAGGGGAGCAGAAATCTCCTCCCAAAACCATATATATTTTGGAAAATACAACAATAAAACTATTCCTAAAAGAGTGACCAGTGGATAAAGTACAACAACAATGCTGCATCTACATTTGCGAGAACTCAGCACTTCCAAAGGGGGTAAGATACAAGCCACGGCCCAGCAGGACCCGGGCGCTCTCCCCCACCCCAGCTCCCTGGTGGGAGCAAAAGAGTAGTAGCAGGGAGGGAGTGGAAGCCCAGAACTGCTAAATAACCAGCTCTAGTAATCAGCACCAGGAACACAGACACTCATTGAATGGTGTGCTGGATATTAGAGAAACACAAGATTAAAATCTGTAAGCAGGTCCCCACAGCCAGCTCCCCTGGACAAAAGAAAAGTGAGTGCTTTTTGAAAGTCCTAAAGGGACAGGGGCCTCACAGCTGGATGGAAGCATCCCGGCACAATCAGCCCAGCAGGCTGGGATTCCTGAGGAACTTCAGTCATCCCAGTCCCCTGGTGGGAACACACCCCTGAAGCCCTTCATGGTGATACGCAGCTTCCAGTCATTCGCCGACCAGTGTGGCCCCAACACAGCAGTGGAGCAAAAGGAGAGTGGCCACATATGCCTGTGGCGGCAGAGCAGCTGGAGAGTGGCTGCACTCAGAACAACTGCCCAGAATCTCCTCCAGCAGCGCAGCCAACTGGGCCAGACCCAGAGGCAGCCGCCAGCATGCAGCTGCCTGGCAAAGAAAGAGGAAACCGGAGTTAGGCACGAAGGGACGCCGTTCTTGCAGGAATGCACACCCAGTGCGCCTGCCACTCCCCATAGGGCTCTGGGCTACCCTGATGATAACCCCACCCTCGGCAGCTTAGGGGATTAATCCGGAGGCTGTGACAGGTGTGTGGGTAACTCACACAGGTAGCTGAGAACAGCAAGGCACTAGCAAGCAGGAAAGGACTTTGTTCTCCCAGCTAACACACACTCTAACCTGCCTAAAGATACCTCTATTGCCATGAAAAGGCAGAAGAATTTGGTCCAGTCAAGAATTACCCAGACAACTCCCTGAGAGAGGGCCTGGGGTGATAGAATAAACCAATCTTCCTGAAAAAGAATTCAAAATAAAGGTCATAACCATGCTGATGGAGCTGCAGAGAAACATGCAAGAGCTAAAGGATCAAGTTAGGAGGGACAATACAGAAGTAAAACAATCTCTGGAAGGACTGGATAGGGTGCAGAAGGCCATTAATGGAATACAAATCAGAGAACAGGAACACAGAGAAGCTGAGGCAGAGAGAGATAAAAGGATCTGCAGGAATGAAACAATATTAAGAGAACTGTGTGATCAAGCCAAATGGAACAATATTCGCATTATAGGGGTACCCGAAGAAGAAGAGAGTGACAAAGGGATAGAAAGTGTCTTTGAAGAAATAATGGCTGAAAACTTCCCCCAATTGGGGGAGTAAATAGTCTCTCAGACAATGGAAGTCCACAGATCTCCCAACACAAGAGACCCAAGGAGAACAACACCAAGACACATAATAATTAAAATGACAAACATCAAGAACAAGGACAGAGCACTAAAGGCAGCCAAAGAGAGAAAAAAGGTCACCTACAAAGGAAAACCAATCAGGCTATAATCAGACTTCTCAATAGAAACCTGACAGGCCAGAAAAGAATGGCATGATATACTTAATGCAACGAAACAGAAAGGCCTTGAACCAAGAATACTGTATCCAGCATGATTATCATTTAATATGAAGGAGGGATTAAACGCATCCCAGACAAGCAAAAGTTGAGGGAATTTGCCTCCCACAAACCACCACTACAGGATATTTTAAAGGGACTGCTCTAGATGGAAGTACTCCTAACACTAAAGACATGTCAACAGAAAAAATAAAATCACAGCAAAGAAGGCAGACCAACCAATACTAAATAAAGGCAAAAAATAAAATCAACTACCCACAAAAGCAGTCAAAGGAAACAAAAAATAGTACAGAATAAAACACCTAACATATAAAGAATGGAGGAGTAATAAGAAGGGAGAGAAATAAAGAATCATCAGACTGTGTTTATAATAGCTTAATAAGCTAGTTAAGTTAGACGATTAGATAGTAAAGAAGCTACCCTTGAACCTTTCATAACCATGAATCTAAAGCCTGCAATGGCAATAAGTACATATTTCCAAAAATCAACCTAAATGTAAATGGAATGAATCCACCAAACAAAAGACACAGAGTAATAGAATGAATAAAAAAGCAAGGCCCATCTATATGCTGCTTACAAGGGACTCACCTCAAACCCAAAGACATACACAGACTAAAAGTCAAGGGATGGAAAAAGATATTTCATGGAAACAATAGCGAGAAAAAAGCACATGTTGCTGTACTTGTATAGGAGAAAATGGACTTTAAAACAAAGAAAATAACAAGAGATAAAGGACATTACATAATGATAAAGGGATCAGTCCAACAAGAGGATATGACCATTATAAATATATATGCACCCAATACAGGAGCACCAAAATATGTGAAACAAATACTAACAGAATTAAAGGAGGAAATAGAATGCAATGCATTCGTTCTACGAGACTTCAACACACCACTCACTCCAAAACACAGATCCACCAGACAGAAAATAAGTAAGGACACAGAGGCACTGAACAACACACTAAAACAGATGGACTTAACAGACATCACAGAACTCTATACCCAAAAGCAGCAGGATACACAATCTTCTCAAGTGCACATGGAACATTTTCCAGTATAGACCACATACTAGGCCACAAAAAGAGCATCAGTAAATTCAAAAAGATTGAAATTCTACCAACCAACTTCTCAGATCACAAAGGTATAAAACTAGAAACAAATTGTACAAGGAAAACAAAAAGGCTCACAAACACATGGAGGCTTAACAACATGCTCCTAAATAATCAATGGATCAATGACCAAATTAAAACAGAGATCAAGCAATATATGGAGACAAATGACAACAGCACAAAGCCCCAACTTCTGTGGGATGCACCGAAGGCAGTTCTAAGAGGAAAGGATATAGCAATCCAGGTCTACTGAAAGATGGCAGAACAAACCCAAATGAATAGTGAAAAGTCACAGTTATTGAAACTGCAAAAAGAAGAACAAATGAGGCCCAAAGTCAGCAGAAGGAGGGACGTAATAAAGTTCAGAGAAGAAATAAATAAAATTGAGAAGATTAAAACAATAGAAAAAAATCAATGAAACTAAGAGCTGGTTCTCTGAGGAAATATATAATATAGATAAGCCTCTAGCAAGCCTTATTAAGAGAAAAAGAGAATCTACGCACATAAAGAGAATCAGAAATGAGAACAGAAAAATCACGACAGACCCCAAAGAAATAAAAAAATTATTAGAGAATGCTATGAAAATCTACATGCTAACAAGCTGGAAAACCTAGACGAAATGGACAACTTCCTAGAAAAGTACAACCTTCCAAGACTGACAAGGAAGAAACAGAAAACCTAGACAGACCAATTACCAGCAAAGAAATTGAATCAGTAATCAAAAAACTACCAAAGAACAAAACTCCTGGTCAGGGGTGGATTCACCACTGAATTTTACCAGACATATAGAGAAGACATAATACCCATTCTCCTTAAAGTTTTCCAAAAAATAGAAGAGGAGGGAATACTCCCAAACTCATTCTATGAAGCCAGCATCACTCTAATACCAAAACCAGGCAAAGACCCAACTAAAAAAGGTATTTACAGATCAATATCCCTGATGAACATAGATGCAAAAATACTCAGTAAAATATTAGCAAACCAAACTAAAAAATACATCAAGAGGATCATACACCCTGACCAAGTGGGATTCACCTCAGGGATGCAAGGATGGTACAACATTAGAAAATCCATCAGCATCATACACTACATCAACAAAAAGGACAAAAACCACATGATCATCTCCATAGATGCTGAATAAGCATTCGACCAAATTCAACATCCATTCATGATAAAAACTCTCAACAAAATGGGCATAGAGGGCAAGTACCTTAACATAATGAAGGCCATATACAACAAACCCACAGCCAACATCATACTTAACAGCAAGAAGCTGAAAGCTTTTCCTCTAAGATCAGGAACAAGACAGGGATGCCCACTCTCCCCACTGTTATTCAACATAGTACTGGAGGTCCTAGCCACAGCAATCAGACAAAACAAAGAAATAGAAGATATCCAGACCAGTAAAGAAGAAGTCAAACTGTCACTATTTGCAGATGACATGATAAAAAACCCTAAAGACTCCAGTCCAAACTACTAGAACTAAAACCTGAATTCAGCAAAGTTGCAGGATACAAAATTAATACACAGAAATCTGTTGTTTTCCTATGCACTAATAATGAATTAGCAGAAAGAGAAATCAGGAAAACAATTCCATTCGCAATTTCATCAAAAAGAATGAAATAACTAGGAATAAACCTAACCAAGTGGATGAAAGACCTATACCCTGAAAACTACCAGACACTCTTAACAGAACTAAGAGGACACTAAAACAAATGGAAACTCATCCCAGGCTCTTGACTAGGAAGAATTAATATTGTCAAAATGGCCATCCTGCCTAAAGCAATCTACAAATTCAATGCAATCCCTATAAAAATACTAAAAGCATACTTCAACGAACTGGAACAAATAATTTTCAAATTCATATGGAACCACAAAAGACCCAGAATAGCTAAAGCAATCCTGAGAAGGAAGAATGAAGCAGGGGGGATCTTGATTCCCAACTTTAAGCTCTCTACTACAAAGCCACAGTAATCAACACAATTTGATACTGGCAGAAGAACAGAGTCATAGATCAGTGGAACAGAATAGAGAATCCAGATATTAACCCAAACATATATGGTCAATTAATATATGATAAAGGAGTCATGGACATACAATGGGGAAATGACAGCCTCTTCAACAGTTTGTGTTGGCAAAACTGACATGTTAGAGAATGAAACTGTATCATTGTCTAACCCCATACACAAAAGTAAATTCAAAATGGATCAAAGACTTGAATGTAAGTCATGAAACCATGAAACTCTTAGAAAAGAACATATTCAAAAATCTCTCGGACATAAACATGAGCAACTTCTTCATGAAGATATCTCCCCGTGCAAGGGAAACAAAAGCAAAAATGAACATGTGGGATTATATCAAACTGAAAAGTTTCTGTACACCAAAGGACACCACCAATAGAACAAAAAGGTATCCTACAGCATAGGAGAATATATTCATAAATGACACATCCGATAAAGGGTTGACATCCAAAGTATATAAACAGCTCATACACCTCAACAAACAAAAGCAAATAATCAAATCAACAAATTGTGAGAGGAGCTGAACAGACAGTTCTCCAAAGAAGAAATTCAGATGGCCAACAGACACAAGAAAAGATGCTCCACATCGCTAGTCATCAGAGAAATGCAAATTAAAACCACAATGAGATATCACCTCACACCAGTAAGGATGGCCACCATCCAAAAGACAAACAACAACAAATGTTGGTGATGTTGTGGCGAAAGGGAAACCCTCCTACACTGCTGGTGGGAATATAAATTAGTTCAACCATTGTGGAAAGCAGTATGGAGGTTCCTCAAAAAACTCAAAATAGAAATACCATTTGACCCAGGATTCCACTTCTAGGAATTTACCCTAAGAATGCAGCAGCCCAGTTTGAAAATGACATATGCACTCGTATGTTTATTACAGCACTATTCACAATAGCCAAGAAATGAAAGCAATCTAAGTGTCCATCAATAGATGAATGGATAGGAAGATGTGGTATATATACACAATGGAATATTATTCAGCCACAAGAAGAAAACAAATCCTACCATTTGCAACAACATGGATGGAGCAAGAGGGTATTATGCTCAGTAAAATAAGCCAGGTGGAGAAAGACAAGTATCAAATGATTTCACTCATCTGTGGAGTATAACAACAAAGAAAAAACTGAAGGAGCAAAACAGCAGAAGACTCACAGAACCCAAGAGTGCACTAATGGTTACCAAAGGGAAAGGGACTGAGGAGGATGGGTGGGAACGGAGGGATAAGGGGGGTGGGGAAAGAAAGGGGCATTATGATTAGCATGTATAATGTGTGTGGGGAGCACTGGGAGTGCTCTACAACACAGAGAAGACAAGTAGTGATTCTACAACATGTTACTACACTGATGGACAATTACTGAAATGGGGTATGTTGGGGCACTTGGTGAAGGGGTAAGCCTAGTAAACATAATGTTCCTCATGTAACTGTAGGTTAATGATACCAAAAAAAAAAAGAAAGTACATAATGAAAAAAAAGGAAAAAGAAATACAACTGCATTGTACATGTATGTTGTACATGTGTATACCACATGTACTTATATGCATCTATATTGTAGCACATTTGGGTTGTTTCTCATTTGTTGTTTACTATTAAAAAGACTGATGCATTGCTTGAATCACTATGTTGTAAAACTAAATCTAAGATAAAATCATTTGTCACTTCAATTTAAAATAAAAATTTTTTACTTAAAAAAAACCAGGCCTCTATACCTATTTTGTCTAAAAGGGCAGCTACATGTTACTATTTAAATGCAAATAATTTTTTAAACAATTTTTTGAATTAAGGTATTATTAATATACACTCTTATGAAAGTTTCACATGAAAAACAATATGGTTACTACATCCATATTATGGAGTTCCCCCCATGCCCTATAAATGCAAACTTATTTAAATGAAATAAAATTTAAAATTCAGTTCCTCGGTTGCACTAGCCACATTTCAAGTGCTCAACATACATGCAAATACAGAATATCTCCATCACTACAGAACGTTTCATTGGCCCATGCTCCTCTAGATCTTTCCCCTGGGACCAGTGTCAGGTTCTGGTTCATGACATTTCAGAATTTAAAACATCTGTAAGTGAAATTTTTTAAAGTGATCATGTAAGAGTTTCTAAAAGTTGAAGATGCCACATGCATGCCTAAAACTCTAAGAATTTCTTCGAAATGTCTCACTCCTTAAAACTTATCTAAAGGTGGTCACATTTGAAGTTGCTGTATTCTAAGTGTAAAAACTCTCATTGTGAAGGAAGTCTATTTTATGAACTATAATAAGAAACTAGAAAACATTGAAAAATAAGAATCCATCCTATAGAAACTCTGGAGTTTATACACTTCTTTCTCAGCAGTATAATTAGCCAAGGAATACTTTCTAATCAAATGAATATCAAAATATATCAATGATATCTAAAAGGATCATTAATGCAATTTCACTATCCAAAAGGGGCACATACATGCATCAACCACATACCCCATAAAAATACCCTATAGCCAGAGCATATTAACCAGCTTCTGCACATTTACACCCAAGTTTCTTAAGAAATTAATTAGGATGTACTGGTAGGAAAAAGAATCAGGAGTAAAAGAACAAGAGTTTAAGATACCTAAAGATATTTTCAAATGGAAGAAACACTTCGAAAAACCTCAAATTGAGACCAAAATATCAGAAGAGGATGACATGGTAATCTCCAAATCTCTCTTTGCTGATGTCAAGCTTTAAAATACATATGATGATATAGAGCTTGAAGGGAATGATTAATGTAGGAATCCTAACAAAAGTGAAAAAATCTAAAGGTTATATTATTTTAGAAAAATATTAGGTTGCAAGAAAGAAACATCCTGGTTATAGTGGAAATTATAGTATTTATTGTGTAGTGATAAGCAAGCTTTTACTTTTATTTTGCCTCAATTTCCCTATCTGCTTTTTTTACTACTGACAAACCCAGGTTAATGATTTATCCAAATGACACATAGTTTTTACTTTAAACATGTTATTTTCGATCTTTGGTCACTCCTAGAATTGTTCAATATTCCCAGTATTTCCTACTATTAAATAAAGCTTAAAGAAAAAAAAAGGGAAGGTATGAACTGGTGCAGGGACTCAAGAGCAAGAAGATGGCCATCAGCTTCAATTATACTGACAGTTCAATTACCCACCCTGGCTCACTTACAATGGGAGTATTAGCAGTTTTGATGGTCCACTGCCTTAAGCATAGTTCCACTTAAGGCAACAGAATAAAATGTGTGCATAAAATCAAACTGTACAATAAGGTATGTAGCCTGATAATCTAATCTTGATCCCTAATACAAAGTATTAAGTAACCGAAGTAGTGATAACTAATTCATGAATGCTTTAGAGACCCTTCATACATGGTAAATCTATAACCATAGACATATTCTAGTGTTTAACAAATACTCATTAAATGTTAGACACAGATACCTCAAAAAATTAATACTACAGTAGAAACTATTTTAGACCTAATAGTATATTTAGAGCTAAGCAAATGTAATTTACATAAACTAACATATATATAAAAATTGCCGAATAACAGAAGTGACAACTTTAATAGATTTATTGCTCCCCTTAAACACTGGTATAAAAATAAAAATCTGTAATTTGGTACAGAAATTGAGGTAAAACATTGATCAAAACTTACTACACAGTAATAAAGAGCAATACTTACCTAGTTCAATACATGTTATTCCAAGAGACCATACATCTACTTTGCCATCATACTGCCCTTCATCCTTGGCTAAAATTACTTCTGGGGCCATCCTAAAACATAAAATGTCATTTAAAGTTAAAAAAGAAAAGTACACTATTCTTTAAAACCGTAATGACCATCTACATGGAGAATACCTGTGTGAATTCCAGATGATATATGTGGACAAAAGAATTCTTACAATTGGAAATAAAGGCATTACAGGTTGTGAGGTAAATATTTACCATTGCATATACAATGGTGGGACTTATTCTCACCATTTGTCATGATCACGTACCAGCATCCTGGAGGAAAGACTCCCCAGAGCAGGGTTGTATTCTGCATCAATTCAAGTTTGCAGATTGTAATATTGTATATCCTTTATGCCAGTGGTTCTCAAACATTTTGGTTTCAGCATCTTATTACAAAAGTCTAAATTTTGCTCGAAAGAGGGCATTTTATCACTGGCACTTGTTTTCTTGAAGTAAACAAACTCACTACATTTAGCTGAGAAAATATCTGCCACAATAAGCAAAAATGAATAAGCAGTTTGTCAGTCTTTTTTCAAATAGTAGTAGTGTTCTGTGATCAAATTGACTATGACTGCCACTCATAACTAAATAAATCATAGAATTATTAACTTTAGAGGCGTCTCGGTTATAAAATGAAACACTAATTCACATCTTCAGCTAGACTCTAATGTTCTCACTGGTATGCTTCACCTTATACTTCCTTTGTACTTGTTAAGTACAGACATTTAGAAGAGTTTCTGACTGCTTAATAAGATTATCACCAGGAGTATGTGTGTTCCTGTGTGTAAAAACATGTAAATACGTACACAGTGCTGTTTCCCTAATAAACTATATACAAATTAACACATATGTAACTTTCAATTGCCAATAATAGAGGGGTTCTAATGTGTTAAGATGTTGAAGTAAGCTTGGGGAGTCACTAACTTCAACAAAGTTTAAAAAGTAGTTTTATTTCTAATGTACAACTTTCTAGCTCCTTTCTAGTATCTAATATTGATCACTGATTTGTAAAGAGGGGAACCATTAAGAAGCATTATTTGTCCAAAGAACCCCTTTTTTATAGAGGGGCAGAGAATTCTATCTAACTAGGGTTCTACATAACAAATTTTTGGTCATACAGAGCAGTAGCCTTAAAATTTTTTATTTTCTTACTTTCAATGAATTTATTTTAAAAATGTATCCACTTGTACATTTTTGAGTTGATATCAAAATTTTATAAACTTGGTAATTGCAAAGGATATAATGCACACATATGTATGTACATTATTTTGTATATGTGCTTTACAGATATTTACAACTTGGAGCTGAGGACATAGCTCATTCAATTCATTAAAAACACTCCTGTATAATAACCTAATTAGCAAACCCAGTCTGCACGGTCATATCAACCATTCAAATCAGAATTATTTTCTATCAGGAAATGCCAAACTTCTTTTTCAACGTAAATAACATGTTAATGTGTCCTCATGACAATTGTCCCAGTTATAAATGAGGTAATTTATGATCCACTACAAAAGAAGATGGGAGGGAAGATAACTGGGGAAAAGAAAGAGCAAGGAGTAAAAGGACGTGAAGAGAGATGACTGTGAAGGCAGAAGGCCCTTGCCAAAACTTTGTGTCCTAACTCTTCAATATTTCTGATGCTATTTATTCTAGACATTATGTATTCTCAAATTGTCCCTTTGGTGATGGTTTGAGGGTTTTAATTCTCAGAACAATGCATCATTCTACTTTCAGGACGGGGGAAGCCTTTCTTTAACAAAGTGGGAGTTGGGAGATTTGAAAGGTAAGTGGAAAAGAAGATGCAGTAGACCTAAGACACCTCTCAACATATACAGCAAGAAAACACCTATGGAAGGTGAAGATGTGGAAAATTATTCCCCTCAAACTTGCTAACATTAATATGGAATTATTTATGAATAAAATTAGATGATGTCTAGAACTCGCTTCAAATAACTGGAGGTGGAGGGAGGGCAAGAGGAACAAGTACACAGGGCAGCCAGGCCCTGGGGTAGTGCTGTTAGGCTGAGCTGACCGCTGTGTGAGCCTTCGTTATATTTTTGTCTATTTCCCTGTATACTTGAAATTCTCCACAATAAAAAATGAAAACAAAAAGTTCCTAATCAGCTACCAGTCTTCAGGTACTCTTATTCAGAAGATACTGACACACAGTAAGTATAAATCTAAAGAAAATTTCCACTTAGCATTTCTATCTTCTCCCTTCTTATATATTTAAGTTTTTTTCACTCCTACACCCAATACGTGATGTAGATGATAACAGGAAAGAAACATTGGGGGAACAAATGAAACAACAGGAGATACAAGGGCAGCACTCCAAATCTGTATTTGAAACTAACCATAGTGCTTATTTAGAGTAATGTCTAAAGCAGCACTGTATTTCCAAGAGAAACATAAAGCACCTGATAAAAGTACAACCACACTGCCTATTTCAATTATGAGGATCAATACCAGATAGGACTATGCTTACCAATGCGGCGTTCCCACAAAAGACTTGGCAGAAGAGGCCATGGAAGCAAATCCAAAGTCAGCAAGTTTCACCTGGCCTCGTGGTGTCAGAAGGATATTTCCTGCTTTGATGTCTCTGGGTTTAAGGAACACAGAAAATTATTTGTCTTTCCTTTGTAAGATTATACTGAAAATGATAAAAATCATATAAAAATTTATAAAATAGGGAAGGAGAAATCAGAATAATTAAGGCCTTGGTTAATCTCTCAGGTGGGATGAGAATTAAGATCCAAAATAAGAAATGAGAGCCACAGAATTCCTGTATGTATATAGTAACAATTTTCTAAAAGAGAAGATAAAATAGCAGTAGAAAAAGAAGAAAAAATTAGGTAATTAATAGCACATAGTCTATATTTGAGTTTTTGTTTATTGGTACTAATAATGGTTTAAAAATTTAGCGGTACATTCTTACGTAACTGTAAGATTTCCGAGTATATCCTTAATATTAAAATGGAGAAAAAAGAACCTCATGCCCCAAATTTATTTTTTTTAATTACTCATATCATTCCAAACTTTAGCATAGTTCTCCTACCTAAATATGAAATGAAAACTGAAACACATGGATAAGGTAATATCAATGATCCCAAATTTACTTTTAAGCTCTTTTCTAAATCAACAATGTACAAGTGAACTAAGAAAATTATAATGGGATTGTATGCCCAATGGGTACCATACATTCAAAAAGAAATAAATTTCTAAGCACTTGTCAATTCATACTACATAGTATTATAATGGATATAATAGTAAGTCAATCTATTTTCTTCCATTTGTTTTTTAAAAAATGGATAGGTTCTTTGAAGTTGAGAAGACCTTAGGTTTTACTTCCAACTCTTCCATTCTCTTATTTACTATGCATGTGGATTTCTCTTGGACCTTAGTATTCTCATCTAAAAAACTGATAACCCATTAATTTGCAATGACTCTACTATATAAGTTTACTATGTATTGTCTGGTTCACATAGATAATTTAAAAAATGCTAGCTTCCTTCTAAAAACAGGGCAAAACCAATACCAATGCTAAAAATGTAGTTTATGATGGTTTAATCTTTAAGTTACTATCCACTATCAAGGATTATCAAGGATTATCTCAAAAGCATAGAGTCTTAAGTAGCTTTTACTTGTCTCTGTCATGGAATCAAATCTGCATTATGAGTCACCAGGAGGACAAAAGATCTAGGTTAGTTCTAGTCTAATCTATCTTGCTTGTAAGCTTTGGGAAGTTAGTCACAAATTGGGGCATCAGTTTCTTCATCTGTAAAATGAAAAAAGTAAGAATACATCATCCCTACTGTCTCTTCCATCTCCCAAATTATTCTATAATTAAATTTCTATCACAAATCTATAAAGTGCACATACTTCAGAAAGCCCAGCAGCATGTGTAGAAAAAGATAAAAATTATCCTCAACAAAGAGATTAAATAAATTAGTATATTCTTTTAAAGAAATGGATAACCTAAAAAAATATGAGTTTGTAAAACTCCAGAATACTTTTATTTAGCTAAAACCAACAAAGCTTTCAGAATTAATAAATTCAAGGTCTGATAAATTCAACAAGCCATTTGCTTATTGATACATGATAATTTTTAAAGTACTTACCTATGGATCATGGTATGAGAATGTAAGTAGGCTAATCCCTGGAGAGCACCATGTGTAATTGCTGCTATTTCCATTTCTTGTAATGGCTTTTTGTGAACTTAAAATAAGAATTTATTTGAAAATAATTATTCTATAGAACATTTCTATTTAAAAATATATATACACATATCTAATATATGGGGAAATTTTTAAAAACTAACATTTAGCAAGAAGGAACTTTTTGCTTTCCAAGATACATAAGGCAACTGAACTTTATAACAAGCGTGCAGTTGTGCCTAGTTGTTATAGTTCACAGCCAATTTTCCTCTAACATTTAACAATTATTTCGTGATTATAAAAACATTGAAAGAGAAGCTTTCCCTTTTTATATTTCTACATATCTTCATTCTGAACAGAAGGAATAAATCAAGTTTAATGATAAAGAATGCAGAAAAATGCCTGTTAAATCAGAAAGAAGGAAAACTCATCTATTATGTTAAAACATAGTATTTAATGAAGACAGTGCACACCCATGCTGAGACTCTAGAAAAGGCAAAGTTTTTACACTTCCTGGAAAGTTTTAACATTATTTTAAAAATCTCTTACTGAATGAATTCTCATTTTATCATACTAATACTTTTCTTATTGAATAAAGGAAACTTACCTTCCAGCAAATCTGAAGCAGATCCTAAACAATATTCCATTACAAGCTACAGGGGAAAAAAATGATAAAAAACATTAAAATACACTATTAAAATAAAAAGATTCTATATGAGATAAAATAAATTCACCAAGGAGATCAAGAAGATAGTTTGAAGTGAAACAAACTCTAGTTATCAATTACCTTTAAATATAAGTATACATTTTGGAACTTGTTAAATGCATACATGAAGTTAAGCCAATGCTACATTAATCTTTTATAATGCCGACATATAACTGCTTGTAGAAGATGTGTGTTTCATATAATTACTAACTAAAGCTATAAAGGAATATACATATTCCATTAATATTAACCTATAGTAGCAATACTGGTATTGTTAGGAAGCAGAAAATCGTCCTCTGGTACTATATATACAAAGTTTAGGTTACAGTTTAAATCTTTCCTATAAAGCAAACACAGAGCACCTCTTATGTGCCAGGTATTTTATATATATTAACTAATTTAATCCTCATAACCACCTTTGGAAGTAGACCCTATTATCATCCTTGTTTTACAGATGGAGAAACCTGAAGACAGAGAGGCAGCCTACCCTGTCAGCCACTGTTTTTTCCTTAACCACAGCCTCACATTTAGGAGTAATATCACCACCATATTAAACCAAACATTACAAATCTAAATCTAAGTTCTGTATATTAAAATGATAATCAGTTATAGCTTATTAAAAATAAAAGGTATTCCTGTTTAAAAATTTAGCCTTTCTCTTAAAAGACATAATTACTATGCCTATACTGTTGTAAGATCACTACCTCATCTTAGTGCTAACAATGGAGCAAAATTAATTTCCATTTTCTGCAATAAAATGTCTCAATTGTCTACCTTTAGTACTACTATTCACCAAAGAATCAATCAGTTCAGATTTCACCAGGATTCACCACCAATATTCCACCCAAGATCCTTATGGTTAAATAGCTTGCAATACATTTATGTTAAAAATATATGCTGATTTTCATGCTTGAGTGATAGGACTGTTCTCAGCAAATGTTTGCTAAAGCATTTGAAGAATGATACCGCTAACATACATCAGAACATTTTCCCATGCACGTAATGATCAGGTGACTCTCTGAAGTAAACTGGCAAAAGTTCTATTATCTCTTACTGCCTAAGAGTTCCAGGAAAAGCTGCTCCTCCTTTCTCAGTATGAACTAACATTTCAAGGTGTTTGTACATGGCTTTACACAACTATTTTGAGACATTTTAGAACTAATTATAAACTAAACCTACTAAAATTACAGCAAGGGGAGAGCAGATACCTACCCATGCTGTGTGCTCACGTAAATAGCAGCCTTTGTATTCTATACTGTTGGGATGTTTTATTCTTTGTAGAAACCTGACTTCCTTAATAATATCCTGCCATTTCTGTGGGGAGAAAAAAAAAGAATAAAGGAAAGAATTAGGAACCGTTGCCTTTCCATAGAAAGCTATATAAGAAAAAAGTAATTGTTAGATTAAAAAGTTAACAAGAACATACAACTCTGCTTTATTTGTAATATGTAAATGTCAAAGTAATACATTTTAAAGAGATTACATTAATATAGTTTACAACTCAATTACATAAAATTCATTCAAGGTAGGACATATTTTTAGTTTCATAAAATTTATTATGTCTTATTAAAATTTTACAACCACACACCAAACCTATTGAAAACTATATACTATATTTAGTGATTTTTCTTCAAAGGTTCAACCTCTCCCTTCTTTTTTGCAGCTTTATTGTTGTATAATTTGCATACCTTAAAGTTCAGCTGTTCTGTTTTTGGCTTATATTGTCTACCAAATGTTAAGTTTTTTCTGTTGTTTAAACTCAAATCAAGTAATGACCTAAATTCCTAAACGCACACATTCTAAAATGCTAGTGAACACTTAGGTTATCACAGAGGGAAGTTCACAGAAAAACCAATCAGCATGAAAACATTTTCCTACAGGATTTTATCAAGTCTTCCCACTGATGCCTATTAGTAAATAACAGATAAACCTTCAGCAATAAAAGCTACTCTATGACAACTTCAGAAACTTAAGCCATATCCTAGTATAGTTACTTGTAAGCAACAATCAGGGAACTCTGAAAATACAGGTACTTGGGCCCATACCCAGAGACTCCAGAGGCTTAGTAGATGTGGGATGGTAACTTGGAATCTGTTTTTTTGTTCTTGTTTCAGTTTTTCCAAGCTTTACCACTCACTTGTATCATATTTTTAAAGGTGGTGGAACTAGAATACAGAACTTTGAGAAATGTTTTGCACTAGAATTTAAGATCCTATATCCCCTATGTTATTTCATAAGCCCTCAACGATATAGAGCAAAAGATGTTCACAGTGTAAAATGTGTAAGCTATAAAATGCTAAGTTCGTAAAGTATTTTATGGGCTTTACATTTCAAATGTGAATGCTCTGGGAGGCAAACTCTCAAAACAAAAGAAAGCTAAAACCTGTATTCTTCAATGTAATGAAAACTTCCATGAAGGATAAAATATTAGATGAGAGAAGATGATGCCCGTGAAATTTTTTGTTCTAGGCATGACTAATTAAACAGACTCCAACACAAGTCTGCTATGAAAGCTAGTTTTAAAGTTATACTATAGAATGGCAAATAAAATTAGAGTGAAATTGTCAAAAATGGAGGGTTTTTTTTTAGTGATTTTAGAAATTATTAAGAGATTTTTTTAGGTATCAACATGATGGAACAGTGATCAATCACAATGGTGTTATCATACTCATAAATATGGTTATCACAAAAAACAAGATTTGTCATAAAATAGAGATTCCAGAAATGCAGAAAACCAAAATCTTTAAAAATTAAAGACTAATGCAGCCATTCTACCTCTGTGCATATACCCTAAAGTATTAATAGCAGGGATTCAAAGAAATATTTGTATACCTATGTTCGTAACAGCATTATTCACAATAAATAAAGGGTAGAAGCAACTAAGTGTCCATTTACAGATGATGGATGGACAAAATGTGGTGTTTTTACACAGACACACACACACACAGACACAAACACACAGACACAGGAATATTATTCAGCTTTAAAAAGAAAGGTAATTCTGACACACACTACAACATGGATGAACTTTGAGTACACTATATTAAGTGAAACAAACCAGTCACAAAAGGACAAATAGTGCATAATTTCAATTACCTGAGATACTTAAAGGAGTCAAATTCAGAGAGACAGAAAGTAGAAAGGTGATTTCTGAGGCTTGGCGGGAGGAGGAAATGAGGAATTATTGTTTGATGAGTGTAGAATTCCACTTTTACAAAATGAAAAAGTTCTGGAGATGAATGGTGGTGATGGTTGCACAACAATGTAAATGTCCTTAAGACCACTGAACTTACACTTAAAGCGGTTAAGATGGTAAATTTGTTTTGTGTACTTTATCACAATTAAAAATAAATAAATTTTTTAAAGAATTAAAGAAATACAAAGATAACAGACTTAGAAAGTAATTTTATAAACTTATGCAATTAAGGAAGAACTAATCAGAATACTAAAGAACAAAAGTACATGCAATACAGTATCAATAATTTTATTTCTCAGATTATTACCCACTGCCTTATTTTTCAGACTAGATATATGCTGCTTGATGATTATTTCAAACAGCCATTAAACAATTTCTCAACCATTAAAAATTTATATCCAGTAAACTTAGTGTCAAATGTACCTTATTCTAGTTTACTTTCTTAGACATGATAATCCCATTATAGAATAATCTGCTAAACAACAATTTAAAAAATTAAACTCATGTTAGCAGGACATATTTAAAAATATAAAAAGTAAGGGACACAGATGGGAGGCTTCTGGGATGTCAAGAATACTGTTTATGGCTCTAAGTACAAGTTAAATGGGCACACTGAGACTGTGGAAGAAAATTCACTGAGATATACACTTAATATTTGTATACTTTTCAATATATTTTTTTTAAATTCCCACCTATCCCCAATTAAAAATGGTATGGCTTTCTTTAACATGCCAATACAAACATATATATTTCACCTACCTCCATAGCCTTCTTTCCACTATAAGGTATTCTCTTGATAGCCACCACGTCATTGGTGTGCACATCTCGTGCCTAAAAAAGACAGAAGACCACTGTAAAAATTAACAGATTAAATCTAGGCAACCATTTCTCTGAGAATAAAAGAATTTATAAACTACCATGTCCAAAAAGATACCAAAACTGCTTTTAAAGAACATTAAAAACATAAGTAAATAGCAAAAAGCGTATCAAATTATCAAGGAGCTGGTACTTTAGAAATAAAAATAATGCATGTTTATCTTTGAATGAGCTAGTTGAGAGGAAAAATATAGAAATTTGAATAGAACTATGAACAATCAAAAAAATGACTAGTACAAGTCTATGGTAGGCCTGTAAATTTCAAAATTTCAATGAAATGGACAATTCTCTAGGAAAGAACTACTAAAATTGATCTAGAGAAGAAAATTTGAGTAAAACAGTGGTGGAAGATTGAAAAGAATACTAATCATCTTTAAAATAGTTGTGAGTGGAGCAGTTTCACCAGGGGAACTTCCCAGGATAAAAGGGGAGAAAAAGGAAAGCTATCCCACTAATTGTATGGAGGCAGTCTAACCCAGCAACTAAACCCTCACAAGCAGCACAAAATTAAAAGTTAAGGACCAATTTGACATGTAAATATAGACAAAGGAACACTAAATAAAATTTTAAAACCAAATATTACAGGGCATTAAAAGAATATTTCATTTGGATAAAACATTATCACAGAAATGCAAAATTTTGATACAGGAAAACATTTCATAATTTGCCATATTTTACAAATCAAAGGGGAAAAATATATACTTAAATATATATAAATACTCAATAAATGCTAAAAATGCAGAAAGGGCCCCACTCTAAATGTATTCAATGCAAGGAAGACCAAACTCTTTAGAAAACCCACATGGGAAAGGTAATTTCTCAACATGATAAATCATGTCTATTGTAAACAACCATTAACTAGAATTAAGACAAGACAGCTAAAATGTTATCACAATTATTATTTACCACTGTTGTAGAAATTTTGATAAAAAATAAAATCATAACAGAAACATGAAAGTTAACTCTTTAGAAACTAAACCCAAATTCTCATTGTGTGTTTAAAAAAAAAAGATGATATATGAAGAAGGCATAAGAGAACAGTTGCAAAATATTTCAAGTGAGTTCAGTAAAAAGGGTTAATCATCTCTAGTCATCCGTGGAAGAACTCATCTTCAATTCAGTCTTTAATGAATTCCCAAAGATAAAATGTTTTAAAATAGATGATGGTGATAGCAACAAAATTCTAACTTACTAAAAATCTATGAAATGCACACCTAAAATTGGTGAACTTAGAGTGTGGAATTTAAATCTCAAAAAAGCTGTTAAAAAGTTAGACAAGCACATATGTAAATGATACCTAAATAGACTTGCTTAAATATATACATATATATATATAATACATAAATATATATATATATATTCTTTAAAGTGGGTCCAGGGAACAACTAATGACATTCCAATTTCAATTACTGGCAGACTGGTTAATGAAAATGTACACCACTTACCATAATGCATGAAGTGGATCTATCCACATAAGATCTTGAATATGAATTAATTTTTCCAAAACGTTCTTTACTCATCTATTTGTGAGCCCCTTGATTTTAGTCAATAGGTCTAACCAGCTACATTCTTTTCTAACAGTTTTAATGAGATATAATTTACATACCACACATTTCACCCATTTGAATGTGTGTAATTCTATAGCTTTTAGTACACTGACAGATACATGGCAATACGGATTGATATGACAGATATATGCAATTTACAAATAACTACAATTTTAGAACTTTCATCACCTTAAAGAGAAACTCCAAATTGTTTCATTTAAAAATGGTTAAAATGGTAAATTTTATATTATGTGTACCTTACCTCAAATTTTTTCCCCATTAAAAAAAAAGAAAAAAGAAACCCCACACCCTTTAGCTATCACTCTCCTATCCCTTTTCCTCACCCCTTCAGCCCTAAGGAACAACTTATTTACTTTCTGCGTCTCTGGAGATTTGCCCATTCTGTACACTTTGGAACCATATAATATATGGTCTTTTATGACTGGCTTCTTTCAATTAGTATAATGTTTTCAAGACTTGTGACAAGCGAATGTTGAGCATCTTTTCATGTGCTTTTTGGACATTTGTACATCTTTGGAGAAATGTCAATTCAGATCCTTTGCACATTTAAAAATTGGGTTGCCTTTTTATTATTGAGTTGTAAGAGTTCTTTATATATTCTAGACACAAGTCCCTTAGCAGACATATGATTTACAAATAATTTCTCCTATTCTGTTGTTGTCTTTGCACTGTTTTGAAGCATAGAAGTTTTACATTTTGATCAAATCCAATTATCTATGTTTGTCTTTTGGTCATGCTTTTATTGTCATTTCAAAGAATCCTTTAACAAAACCAAGGTCATGCAGTTTTACCCTAACAGTTTTATAGTTTTAACTGTTATATTTAGATCTTTGACACATTTTAATGTTCATATATGGTAAGAGGTAAGGGTCCAATTTCATTGTTTTGCTAAAGAGCTACATTTTCAACTAGCCCAAGATAAAGTTCAAAAGTGGGTATACTAAATACAGAGTAGTATCCTGGAGTAGATTTCAGAACAGAAAAAGCACAAAGACTGGGAAAATCTGAGGAAAGTATGTAGTTTAGTTAATAGTATCAGTGTATCAATGTTGATTTCTTAGTTTTGATAAAGGTACTGTGGTTATGAAACTTGTAAACTTTAAAGAATTTGGGTGAAGATTATAGGGTAAAACTCTTTACTATTATTGCAAAATCTGCAAATCTAGTATAACTTTTAAAACAGTAAGTTAACGTGACAGTGATTTATTAAAACCAAACTCATTAGTAATGACGATTATATTAAAATTATATCAGATTAAGATGAGATTACTTTTGCCTATCTCACACACACACAAATAAAAACCTCACAGAAAAATATTTAATGTCCACAGTCATGTTTCTCTCTCCCTTCAAGATTATAAATTGTGCTTACTCATCATGTCTTATTCACCTCCTCTAATCTGGAACAATTTGCTCAACCCTTCCTTGTCTTTTATGACACTGGCAGTTGTTGAGACTACACAGCAGCACTTACCTTACTAAATTTGTGTTTGAAGCTTCTTCAAGATTCTGGTTACATATCTCTGGCTGAAATACTACATGAATTATATTGTGCCCTTTTCAGGGTATCATATCTGGAAGCATACAATGTCTGTTCATCACTGGTTACTAATTTTCATCACCCACTCAAGGTATTTGACTGTTTCTTTCCAATGTATATAGTTATAACCACTGTTTCCTACTTTGTATCTAACAAGCAATCTGTGGAGAGATACTTTTAAACTATATAAATATTCTGCTCATCAAACTTTCCCCCTAGGTTTAGCAACCACTGAAGATTCTAGCCCAAAACAATCTTTGCAATGATTGCTGCAATCTTCAAAATGCTGGTTTTTCCCAACTCTACCATTCCCTTCACATGTATCAGTCAGCATTCTATTATAAAGAAAAGCCCTCCCTTTCCAAGTATCTATCCATCCTTCACCTATCATGGAAATTAGGAATTCTTATTTTATTCAATGAGTTATAATCAACAGATGTTTACATTGATGCTCAAATTGTTCCAGATCTGGCCAGTGGGAGCACCTTCAAGCTGGTTCTAGCATCCTCTTGAAAGGGCCCCCCCTTTTTTTTAAAAGCACTTTTTAACCTTCTGGCACAAGATATTCTAAAGCTTATCTTTAATGATCCCTGTCCCCCAATAGAATGAACCATTACTCCAATAGCTCTTGATCCATGTAGTGAGGAATTCAAGATCTGAGTGCTATGTGTGCTTGTTGCTACTGGGATATCAATGCAACTAGAATCTTACAGAAGAGAGAGCTAGGAAATATATATGTCATATAATTAGTTCATATTAATGCCAAAAATTCCTATTCAATACCTATCTAGTCCCACATGGTTCTTACTTACTTTTGCCAATTTCCTATTTCTATTATTCTTTCAGTTAGGATCTGATGACAAATGACATCAAAATTATTCACTGCTTAATCTTTAAACACACAGTTTCAGAACTGTCACACCCATACCAATATGAAACAAATTTACTGAGAAGAATTCAAGATTTGTTTGCAGTTTCCTCTTCCCAAAGAGACAGAGGGTATAAAGTTAAAATACTGTGTATGAAAGTCTCATATTAGTTTTGGTTTTTACTCCAATGTGGTTATAGCCCAAATACAGTTGGATTCATTGTTCCTGCTTACCTTTTCATGACTCCCCCCATACATAATGACTTAATTTTAACTTTTAAATATATAAAATATTTATTATCAAAACAGGTAAAACAAGTTATCATTCTGTCCTCTATCTACTTCTTTCTAGTACCCACACTATCACCATTCTGTATCTTGAATTGTTGGTTGTATGGCATATAACTTGTCTAATTTCATCAAACTATACATTTAATATATCTGTATTTACTGTATATAAATTATACTTAATAAAATAAGTCAACTAAAAAATACTACTGACACACATTGAATGGCTACATGACAGGGATTTTTTCAACAGGGTTCTCTTATTGGGCCCATTTCTAAGAGTCTGTATATTTTTTTCCTTTTTTATTCTATATTTCTCCACAGTAGTATTAAGGAGAACAATGGGAGAAGCTTACATTCAGACAAAACTGTAACAGAGAAAAAAGGTTGTTTATGAAATACCTGCTTTCTGAGTGCCTCTTCCCTTATTCTGTGTCCAATACAGAAATCAAACAAACATAACCTACATCACACACACACATAAAGCATGGGTACACAAAAAGATCCTGCAAGGATGTTTATCTAAATGTTAACAGCAACTGTCCTTGGGTAGGAAAATTACAGAGGGAGTTTCTACTACCTTATTTTTACCTCTAATTTACAAATGGGAAATAAACAAAAAGTTCAAATTGTTAAGAATTTGGAACACATTTTCTGTTTTATTCTTAAGGTACCCATTAAAATTAAAAAACTAAATCTGTAATACTACCAAAATATTAAACATCTACACAAAACTTGTTGCTGAGAAAAAAAAAAGCAATCTTAACAGGAAGTAATGAATGAATAATAATGAGATGTGGACTTTACACAAGTCAGTGTTTTACAATATTTGATTCAATAGCAAGGTAAGTCATAAAACTGCTAAAGTAGTGTAAACAACATGGAAAACAGAGTATCTTTCCCATATTTTCAATAATATAAGAAGCTCAATAAATAAAATGATCTCTTTTCATATACACCTAATGCAAGTGACTATAAAATAGACTACTGCCTATGTCTTTTTGTATTACTGGTTTTTACTCTGCCAGGACTGGATATTAAATAAATGCTGGCCACTGACATTAAGCCTTTAACACTTACAAAGTATACTGCTCCAAAGCTTCCATGGCCAATTTCTCTGAGATCTGTGAAAAGCTTCTCTGGATCTTCTTTGAAGAAGAGTTCTGCAATTTCAGGGTCCTTCAGGCTGCCCGCTCGGTTAGTTGATGGCATCCTGCTGGGCAATCAGCTGTCTGATTCTAATTGTATAGTGCTAGCCCAATCCTTGGTTCATCTGTATGAATGAAGCCACGTTGACATAAACTATTGTAGAGAAATAAGAAAAGAAAAACGTCAGGAAAAGCAAAAGTTGCTAAGAATAATTAGCATAACATTATTTTCTGACAACATACATAAAAGTATCTTAGACCTGGAATTTCACTGAAAAGAAGTGTTGCCTACTAGTGGAGGAGTCTTAAACCCGGCTCACCATCACAGTCACCTACACTGCTTTAAAAAAAAAGATTCCCACTATACAAAGTATGTAAGTACATACTATACATACACTTCTAAAAATTAGATAAATCTTTATGTCCTGGAAGACTTTCTGTATCATTACTTAAAAGATTTATCTAACTGATGCAATAAGCTCATCAGCAAAAGAGATAATATAGTAGGAAGACCATTAAAAATATATGAAACAACTCAAAATGTACCCATAAGTTTTTAACAACAGGAAGATTCCCATCTGTTAATCACCTTCAAATGTAAGAATATAGACAATAGATTTAATTTAGGAAGATTTCTTTTCCTTTCAGACATCACATGGCAGTGTTTTAACAACACTAACACAGACATTCCTAAGAAAAATGCAATGGGAGAAAATAATGAATTTAACATAGATAGATAACTGCTTCCTAAATAACCTGATTCACATTAAAAAATGGCCTTATCAAATCTGCTTCATTACATAAGTAGATACACTACAGAATTCCCTGGTGGTCCTGATATTGGTTCCTTTATATCAGATTATCAAATTATTTAAATGACTGCCATAAATGAGAGGCTTCAGAACCTGGTTCTAGAATAACACTGCCTAGATAGGAATCCTGGCAACAATTATTAACCAACTATGAACTTGGGTAGCCTAATTTTCCAAATCTACGAAATGAAAGAAATAAACCACCTCCTAGAGTAGCTGTGAGGGTTAAATGAATTAATAAATGTTAAGTACAGACTAGTACACAGGTGGAGTAAGCATTATATTAAATGTTAGTTATCATGACTTCCTTAAATTTACCAATTGAAATAAAATACTCCAAAATTGATTTCATTAAACTCATAAGGGAAAATAAAGCTCTAGCCAGTTCTTTCCATGCCCAAAGCATATTTTTTTAACTTTTAAATGTTTTTAATTTCAAAACATTTTTAAACTACAGACAATTTTTTAAGCCTGTCTCATTGTTAGTGAACTCAACTGAATCAATTGTGATGCTTGTTATTAAACTTCTAACTACATAACACATTTACTTATCTTTTGCACCTCCCTAAATTAATACTACATTACAGTAAAAACTCAAATTATTAGTTTATATTCCTTTTCTAACATATTTTCAAGGCTGCCAGATGGAGTACACTTTTACCAATCTCTCAACTCTGGAATTTCCCTGGAACAGTGCTTCAGTAACAATTCTTCCAAGAATATGTGACCATAGGAAAGTCACTTACCACTCTAAAATGGGGAGCTTGAACTACATTCCATATAAAGTGTTACTGTTCAATTAATATACCTGTAAAAAACAAAAAGTCTTCTATATCACTTAAGACCTTATTTAATAACTGATTTATCAAATTACAGTACCTTTATTACAAGCATTATTTTATAAAATTTTGTAACAACTTCAACGATTTGCATCTTCTTTTCTATCTGAGTAACAAATTACCATTCAAAATCTTCCAAAGTTTAGATCAAAGGTAATGTTTGTGAAGTTTTAACTCTACTAGGAGACCTGCTCACTCTCCCTTCATGCTTCAAAACATTCTTCAGCATTTACTATACCACAATCATCTCTCTTCCCTAGAAAAGTAGGCACAATGTGACTCATTCATCTTTACATTACCTTTCTACATCCTACACACTAACTCTTACAGTTAATATACAAATATATGTTGAAATAAAAGAATACTTAATTCTTCTCCCTACAGCCCCTTTAAAAATGCTTTTGCTTCCACAAATATTTACTGAAGGGTATACATGAGATTACGATGCACAAAATATTAATGTTGACGACAGAGAAAGAGAGTAAATTCATAATGACAGCACCCTCTAGAAAATCAAAGAAACAAAAAATAAGGGGGGAACTGGAATATATGCTCTACCAAATACCAAATGAGAATACAAAAATGTCATCACTAGAATAAAATAGAGCAAGTAAATCAATATGAAAGATTTCAGAAACAAACCCATGTATGTATATCTGGAGATTCAGCATATGATTAGGGGAGAAATAAACTTCAAGAAAATGGAGAACCAACTTGAAAAACATTTTAAGATTATATCCTAGAAAAAGATTGCAGTGTGAAAGGTGAGACAGAGGCTTTTTCCTAAAATCGCATATAATACGAAAATATAATTAATACAACTAATCCTGAAAGAGCAACAGGAGAGAGGACTGAGCCAAACTGCATACACCTAGAGAAAAGAATAAACCTCACAGAACAGGGTAACATATCAAAGCTGTGGCTCAGCAGGACCCAAGCCTTTCCCCACCCCAGCACACTGGCAGGAGGAAGAGAAACAGAGTGGGGAGGGAGTGGAGGCCTGGGACTGCTGAATATCTAACTCCGGAGATCTGCTCTGGGAGCACAAACCTATATTTCATGATGCTTGCATGGTACTCTCATAATTAGGGCGTTGGAAAGGTAAGACAGGCAGAATTCCTGGAGAGACTGAGATTCCAGTCACCTGTGGAAAGCAGGGATCCATATCCGGCTGCTCTGGGACAAGAGAAAGGTGGGCAGTCTGAGAGACTTCTTAACAAGGACGCCCTTAGCAAGAGGGCTGCCAAAGGGGCAAAGATTGCACAGAGTTTACTCATCAGGAGAAAGGATAGGTAGATAAAATTGTCCAGGTGTACTCTGCCCAGCAGGTTGGGAGCTTTCATGACCTTCAGGTGCTCCAGCTCCCTGGCTGGCTACATAGCTCCAAGGACACCCTCCATGATACACAGCCTACTGTGCCTTTCTCCTGGCAAGCCCCACCTGGCTCAAAAAGCAGCAAACCCTACACTGGCGTTAGGTCAGCCAGAGGGAATATCTGTCTACAGCAACTACAAACACAAACCACAGAAGTTTATACCTGTGTGCTCAGCCAACTGGTTCAGGCAGTGGAGACAGGCATAGCAGCCAGGAAGCAAGAAACAGCTCTTTCCTCCCCCCAGGCACCAATACCACTCCCCTGAGACCCCCGACATTGCTTCAGGAACTGAGCAGCTCCAGACAGTAGAGCTTCTGAACACTAGAGGGTGACATACACAAATATTAAACGCCAAAGGAACCTGGTTCAAAGTAAAATTATTAATACAACTTCTGAGAAAGATTTAAATGACATCAACCTCATGAATCTTCTTGAAAGGGAGTTCAAAATTAAAATTATTAATATGCCCATGCAGGTACAGAAAGATATTCAAGAACTCAGGAATGACTTCTGGTCAGAGATCCAAACACTGAAGAGAACAATTGAGGATATTAAAAGGAGATTAGATAAGGTGGAGGAAACGATAAATGAAAGAGAAACTACAGAAGATGAATACAAAGAAGCTGAGGCACAGAGAGAAAAAAGGATCTCTAAGAATGAAAGAATATTGAGAGAACTGCGTGACCAATCCAAACTGAACAATATTCACATTATGGGGTACCAGAAGAAGAAGAGAGAGAAAAAGGAAGAGAAAGGGTCTTTGAGGAAGTAATTGCTCAAAACTTCCCCAATATGGGGAAGGAGATAGTCTCTCAGGCCATGGAGGTCCACAGATCTCCCAACACAAGGGACCCAAGGAAGACAACACTAAGACACATAGTTACTAAAACGGCAAAGATCAAGGATAAGGACAGACTATTAAAAGCAGCCAGAGACAGCAAAAAGATGACATACAAAGGAAAGACCATCAGGCTATCATAAGACTTCTCAGCAGAAACCTTACAGGACAGAAGGGAGTGGGCATGATGTATTTAATGCAATGAAGCCAGAAGGCCCTGGAACCAAGAATATATTACCCAGCAAGATTATCATTTAAATTTGAAGGAGAGATTAAATAATTTCCAGATAAGAAAAAGCTGAGACAATTTACCTCCCACAAACCATCTCAACAGTGTATTTTGGAGGGACTGCTATAGACGGAAGTGTTCCTAAGGTTTAATAGCTGTCACCAGAGGTAATAAAACCACAGTAAAGAAAGTAGAAGAGCTAATTATGAAGCAAATGCAAAATTAAATCAACTATCCCCAAAGTCACTTAGGGATAGACAAAGAGTACAGAATATGACACCTAAATTATAAAGAATGAAGAACGAAGAAAAAGGAGAAGAAAAAAATAAGACCCTTCAGATTATTTTTGTAATAGCATATTGAGTGAGTTAAGTTGGACACTTAGATAGTAAGGATGTTAACTCTGAATGTTTGGTGACCACGAATCTAAAGCCTGCAATGGCAATAAGTACATACCTATCGATAATCACCCTAAATGTAAATGGTCTGAATGCACCAAACAAAAAACAGGGTCACTGAGTGGATTAAAAAACAAGACCTGTCCATATGCTGTCTACAAGAGACTCACTTTAAACCCAAAGACATACACAGACTCAAAGTGCAGGGATGGAAAACGGTATTTCGTGCAACTAACAGGGAGAAAAAAGAGGAGTTGCAGTACTTGTATCAGACATAATAGACTTCAAAACAAAGAAAGTCACAAGAGACAAAGAAGGACATTACATAGTGATAAAAGAGTCAATCCAACAAGAAGATGTAACCATTATAAATATTTATGCGCCCAACAAAGGAGAATCTACATATGTGAAACAAATACTAACAGAATTAAAAGGGGAAATAGAATGCAATGCATTCATTCTAGAACACTTCAACACTCCACTAACTCTGAAGGACAGATCAACCAGACAAAAAATAAGTAAGGAGACAGAGGCACTGAACAAAACATTAGAGCAGATGGACCTAACAGACAT